GCTATAATAAGATCAAAAACTTCCAATCAGTATGGTGAAAAATAGTCACTGATCCATAATGCAGTTCATTTGCTGGATTTTGTCGGAGTTCAAATGGAAGTTTTAATCTATCTTTTGATAGAACGTATCATCATCTATCTTCAATAGATCCTCAAAGATGCGCCATTGAACCCTTGTCGAGATTTTTTATTTTTATAACATTTTTTAGTAAACCGTCATGGTCTCCCTCAAGCTCACTGAAAAATCGACTTTCGAATTTCGACTTGAAACTTTGAGCAGAGAAAGGTCTCAATAAGACTGGTTTATTCTGAAATTCTCAAATTTATTGGTTGCTCCTATCTTTAAATATGAACACTTAACATTTTGTGCTTTAAGTAATGTGAAAAAAAAGTACTTTTTCTTACACTCGTATCTCAATAGAGAAGGAACCTAAAAATCTGAAACCATCAGAACAAACTAGTCTGATTGAGACCCTTCTCTGCACAAACTTTCAAATCGAAATTTGAAAGTTGATCTTCCAAGTAAATCTGACGAAGACCACGGTGTTCTGCTGAAAATTGCTGTAAAAATAAAATATCTTGATAGAAATAAGCAAGAAGCACAAGTCTTTTTAGAGTGTTCGTAGCTCATTAGAGCCTACATAATGCACATAGTCTCGACCCAATAGCGATTTGCTACCTGGCAATTGCTTCTGATCCCTTTTTTCTGTCCAACGTGACCCACACCCTCCAGATAGCTGCGACCCATCTCCTCAATTATTTCTATCCTATCTGATATAATGATCGACAAAAAAAATTAAGAAATAACTGTTTCTAATTTTTATAAAGGGCTTTTGCAGGGAAATCGAAAATATTTCGGCATTCCATGGGACTTCAAGGGTTCCATGAGGTTACAAGGGACTGCAAAGAGTTGAAATCTGCCGTTTTCCCTTTGGGGTGTTGGTGTGGATGTCGAAGAAGAAAAGAAAATAAACCAAAGCCAACACCCACCCACATCCACACCCGTTTCGTCAACGAAGACATTGATAGAAGAAAAAAGTTACTTAGGATAATAAAAAAAAGTTTTTTACAGAGCCTCACCTGATTTGGAAACGTTCCGCCGCCCCTGAATCTAACACAAGGGTTTCGTTAGATTTTTATGGTTTCTTTAGGACAGAGTTGTCAGTATTTCTTATTTGTTCAAGTGAGAAAAACTGAAAGTTGTGGAGAAAGTATTTTCTCCCTTGAAGTACTAGAAGTAGTGTCGAGAACAAGAATGAAATCCACAGTATGCGAATCTTTCTATAACAGATGATAAGCCAACATACCATTTCTCTCTCAATCCTTCTCATCTATAGATAATATTATAAAAAAAGAAAGATGATTAATTAGTTAAGATAATTCGAACTATTGTTTCGAATTTATATAAGAAATTGTTAAAACTTGATTTCGTACTAATTCGAGCCTCTTTGAGTTAGAGATTTATTATACTTTGTTAGATACACATAATGAAATTCTATTTTTCTTCTATTTTTGTAGATAGAGCTGAAAATACTAACAGGAAAAATCTTGTAGAAATTGTTCTCAAATATGAAGAATTAGCAGAAGCCGAAATTCTGGTAACTAGTTGACTTGAGTTTAAATTGACTTCATTAACTCCTATAAAAAACCTTATTTCTTTAGTTATTTACTACATTCTCTAATATTAAACAGTATAAATTTAGATCATGTTATAGTTACAGTGCTCTGTTCAATAGAGTACTACACGGGTATAACGTTTAGTATCCATAATGTTGATGATATCCTATGCGCGAAATACAACCAAATGTTTTCTTCAAAATACTTTATGTTAGATTGCAGTCTAAGAATAATGACTAAAAATGATTGTTTCAATACGAAGTGAATCATGAAACATTTGACTTAGAATTATGTTTTGTTGGATAATATTACTTTTTAGGGAGGAAATAATCACTCAAAATGAGGCTATAAAGATTTATTGATATGTTTTAATTGATAGATGTTATCTTTAGTTGCATATATTAGATTGGAATTAGTACCAAACAAAATCATAGTTGAAACAAATATTTTTCTATGAAAGTTAAAAAGATACATTTTGAAATTTATTTCGATGTTTTCAATAAAATCTGATGATCGAATAATAGAATAATCACTAAACGAATAATGAATAAAACATGTTTTTCTCTTTTTCTTTTAAATTTATTAATGCAAATAATAAATAAATTTCAATATCTTTCAGATATTCTTCTTCTATTCAAAAACAAAACAAAGTATTTTATGTAAGTTATTTGACGAATATAACAAATTAAAAGTAAAAATAATTTCATGATTTGAATATTTGTTTGTTATAGATACAAAAAAAATGGCTGATCAAGAAGCTGGTGGTTTAAGTGCTGCTGAATTAAAAAAGAAACGAACATTTCGTAAATTTACATTTCGTGGTGTTGATCTTGATCAATTATTAGATATGAATAATGAACAATTAATGCCATTATTACATTGTCGTGCTCGACGACGTTTATCACGTGGTCTTAAACGTAAACCAATGGCTTTAATAAAATGTTTACGTAAAGCTAAAAAAGAAACACCTGAATTAGAAAAACCACAAGCTATTAAAACACATTTACGTCATATGATTATTGTACCTGAAATGGTTGGTTGTGTTGTTGGTGTTCATCAAGGAAAAAACATTTAATTCAATTGAAATTAAACCTGAAATGATTGGACATTATTGAGGAGAATTTTCAATAACATACAAACCAGTTAAACATGGTCGACGAGGTATTAGTGCAACACATTCATCTCGTTTTATTCCACTCAAATAAACAAAATACAAAAATATAACCGTTTTTTCATTTTTATTGTTGAAATTTTTTCATCTTGTAACAACATCAGATTTAAGATGAATAAAATATAAAAGAAAGAAAAAGAAAAACATCGGTGAAAAAGAAACTTTTTTTAAATAAATTAAAATTCACATGCAAACTTTTCAAAAATAATTATTAAAGTTGAGATATATTCACGTTGATTTTCTAGGTTAAAATGATTATTTCAACAATTTATATTAAATTTTAAATAGCGAGTTTTGTTCTCTTTATCCTTATTAATATTTAATTGATTAAAAGCTAAGCTGATATTAACTATATAAATAAATCTTGTTGTATGAGAAACAAATAATAGGTAAATTAAAATTCTATCAATGTTATCTCATTTAAAGAATATATTCTATTACATAAAATATTTAATTCATATTGTAATATTCAAAATTTAAATAAATAATGAACATAAAAGTTTCATCAAGAAATTTCTTTTTTTAATTGACAAATATGTTCATGAGAAATAAAAAATCTTTTCAAATATTGATAATCATTTTTGTATTAATCAATTATATATATGTAAGTACTCATTTTACTTTACTTCATCGTTTGTAGAATCGTCTAATAAAAGGATCTTTGGTTATCATGTATTCATAGTTTTAATAGGTTGAAGAATCTTCATGTCCTAGATTAGGCAATCATCAATGGTCATTAGAAACATAGATTCTCTAATTTAAAGCTTTTTTAACAAAAAAAAACTCTTAATCAATTTATTTATGTTACAAACAAATAAAATGGTAAATATACAGTACATCATCATCATTCGTCATCATTCGACTGCAAATAACTTGGGTTTGCAGGCGACAACAATCTTACGCCATTCTTCCCTATTGACAGCAGTCTTCCGGATTTCTTCGATGGTTGGTGGTGTGTCGTTGTTGATCAGTCTTGCGACGTAATCAGGATAGTTTAAACGTGGGCGACCACGTTTTCGTGTTCCATGGCCAGATTTTGGTGTATACAGAGCATACATGTTAATAAATTCGTTTGTATTACGGCGAAGACAGTGTCCAATGAAGCGTAGTTGTCGTCGTTGTATTGTTTGTGTTAAAGGTTCTTCTTTGATTGTTTCGTATATGGTGTTGTTTTTAATCTTGTCGGTTCGTTTGATGCCGAGCATTACCCTATAACAGCTAGTAGCGAAACTGTTTAAGGTATTCTCGAGCTTGTTTGTAATTATCCAACTTTCACATCCATATAATAATATTGAAAGGCATGAAGTTTTGAATATATTAATTTTGAGTTTGATTGGTATTGTTGTTGATTTCCATATGTTTTTCAATTTCCAAAAGGCTTTCCACGCTTGGCTTTTTCGTACTTTGATGTCTGTGGTGGTAGATAACATCATTGAACCGAGGTATTTGAAGTTGTCGACCCATTCAATGTTCTGTCCATCAAGTTGCATTGTTTGGTTGTTTGTGTTTTGGTTGGTTAATGCTTGAGTTTTCTTGATGTTGATTTGTAGACCCACTTCGCTAGCCCTCTTCGCTGTTTGAACGAGCTGTGATTGTGCTCTATCAAAACTATTTTCCAGGAGAGCTATGTCGTCGGCGAAGTCAAGGTCATGTATACATGTTGGTGATTGTCGACTGGATTGTCTCTTGTTTGTTACGAAGCCATGTTCTCCCTTTTCGTTTGTATGATCTAATTGAGCATTTTTCATTACGTAGTCGATCACTATTATGAAAAGGAATGGTGCTAAGGTGTCTCCTTGGAGAACACCAGTCGTTACGTCGAATTCTTCAGAGACGTTGCCGTCTACGAGAACTACACTTTTGGTATTATGATATATGTTTTCGATTGCACATACTATTTTAGTAGGCACCCCATAATGCCTTAAGATGTTGAACATTGTTTTTCTATTGATTGAGTCGAAGGCTTTTTTAAAGTCTACGAAGGTTATGTAGATTGGAAGTTGTTTATCGATTGCGCTTTCTAGAATTCTACGTATGACATGAATCTGATCAATGCAGCTTCGTCCTTTCCTGAAACCTGCCTGGTTTACCCTTAGAATCGAGTCAAATGGTTCTCTTATTCTGTTTAACAGGATTCGGTTATAGGCTTTAGCTGCTACTGACATAAGACTAATGCCTCTGTAGTTCGTCGTAAGCGTTTTGTCGCCTTTTTTTGGTATTGGTATTATGATGTTGGTGTTGAATTGTTTTGGTGTTTGTTGATTGTTGTAGATTTCATTGCATATGTTACAAAGTTGATTCATAATCCATCTACCACCATATTTCAGTACTTCAGGTGTTATTGAATAGTCAATTCCAGGAGATTTTCCGTCTTTTAATTGTTTGATTGCTTGTTCCACTTCGTTGATTGTTATTGGACCTTGGTTGATTGGTAGGTCTTCAGGAGCTGGTGGTATTGCTTGAGTGTTTAGATTGATGTTTGTTTTAACGTTAAGTAATTCTTCGAAATATGTTTTCCATTCATGCATAAGTTCATTGGTTGAGTTAATTTTTGTACTATCTTTTCGTTTGATTTTTGATGTGCTGTAGCTTGTGCGTTTTCCACTGATTTCGTCGATCAGGGACCATGTTGTTCTTAGATGATTTGATACCATTGCTTGTTGGAGTTGTTCTAGTTTATCTTCTAAGAAGTTGATTTTGTCGTTGTTGTACGATTCGTCGAGTTGTTTGTTGAGTATGTGCCAATGGTTTTTATTTTCTATGCTTGGTTGCTGTTTGAATTTGGATTTGGCGCTGTTTCGTTTTTCCAGAAGATCGATAGTAGTAGTTGAAACCCAGTTTTTCCGTTTTTTCCGAGTTGTTTTTCCAATGAGTTTTTCTGTTGTGTCTTGTATACTAGTTACAAAATTGTCATATTTTGTTTGTATGTCGTTGTCTGTGTTGATGTTCTGTAGAATTTCGTATCGATTTTGTACTTCAATGTTGAATTGGGCTTGTAGTACGGAGTTGGTTTTGAGTTTGTTCCAGTCAAATTTGATCCTTTTGTTTTTGTTTTTGTTTTGTTTCGGCGCTCGAAGGCTGATTGATAATTTAGCGCTGACAATGCGATGATCGGAGTTCAATTCAACTGTGTTATACGCACGTACGTTTCGAATTGAGTTTAACCATTTCCCGTTTATGAGTATGTGATCAATTTGAGCTTTGGATTTACCATTTGGATGTAGCCAGGTCCATGATCTTGACTTTGGGTGTGGAAACCGTGTTTGTGTTGATCGCATGTTGCAAGTTTCACAGTAGTTGATAAGTCGGTTGCCGTTGTCGTCGGTTAATTGATGGTATGTGTATCTACCAATTGTTCGTGGATTTGTTGTATGACTGTCGGTTCCTATTCTTGCGTTGAGATCACCAGCAAGAATCAGGACGTTGTGTGGAGGGACGTCGAGCGTACATTGTTGCAGATCATTGTAGAAGGTGTCCTTTTCGATATCACTTTTGTCTTCCGTAGGCGCATATGCGATGATGATTGTTGTTGCTGGATTCCCATTAAAGTGCACCATCATAATGCGATTTGATACTTTTTCTGATGAGTTGAAAAATGCTGACATTCTGGGATTTATGAGTAATCCTATGCCACCATGTCCATCTGAGGTTGCTGAAGAATATTCAAATCGCCAGATTTGATCATTGAGTATTGTATAGCACGCATTGATTTGTTCTGTTGTTTGCCAACGATGTTCTTGAATTGCCACCAAATCGATGTTGTTTTTGCTGCATCCGTATATAAGTTGGTGAAGTTTTCCAGTTTGTTTGAGAGTACGCACGTTGTAGGTGGATATTGTGATGGCCTTGTGATGAGTTTTTGTATTTTTTGTGTTTTTGTTTTTATTTGTGTTTGTTCGAGTCGTCGATGCTTTCTCAAAGACAGGTGCCTGCCTTATCATAGGCTCGGATTTTTGTGAAATCCTCGCATGCATACGACGAGATGAAAGACTGTTGCCCGGAATGGGTTCTTCGATTATTGTTTTCGGAGTCATTGTGAAGATCATCTCGGGTGACTAGCCCTGAGATGCTTACCAGAGCCCATCTTAGCCGTCGTAAAACGACGTTTCCATCCGACACTGCGAGGAAGTGAAGGGTTGGGTTTTGTCGGACATACAGTACATACATAAAGAAAATTTTTTTCACCAGATTCAAATCGTACGTTTGTATTTATCAAGCCAAAGTTTTACTTTTTGTTTAAGAGAATATTGCTAAATATATATTTTAGATTAGAAATTTAATGCTAACAGAACTTCATTATTAATGCCTTATTGAGTTTGACTGAAAAAGAAAAACAATATTCTTCAGTATCAATGAAGGTAACCTTAGTATATACAAAGATTAGACTTCTTCACCATAGAGAAGACTCTCAAACTTCGATCCATTGTGAAGATTAATTTTTAAAACTAATAAGTGATGCAAAAGTCCTTTGGAAAAATGTCAAGACAAATTTCTTAACAGTCAAAAGACCTGATGTAACCGAACGTCTTGCATATTTGAAAGGACAAAATTTGAAAAATAAAATTGTCTAATTTAGTTAAGTTTTTTCTTTAAATTTATTATAATAAAATTGCAATACGAAATTACGATTAAAAATTGTTTCAACATAATTTTTTCCGTATTTTTGACTGGAAAGTTTTCACTATCCAATGCTAGAAAAATTTGAATAAACAAAATAGTCATGAATAACGCTTTACAAACTTTTATCCATTAATTCTTTATAGTTGAGTTTTGTCTATACAATAGATTAATATATATATATATATATGTCTTCTGTTAAAATATAAATTGGTTGAAAATTATAAATTGAAAACAAATATTCGATGGAGAATTTTTTGCAAAGTAAATGATAATTATTCAAAATATTCGATTGTAGAAGACGACTCTCTTTTTTTCTCTTTCTCGAAACCATATATTTTGTTTACATCTTGTATAAATATTAATTGGCAAATAAATATTTTGAAGAGCTAAAAAGATGGTTTGAGATGAGTTTAAAGAGTACTCTCGTACATTATAAATTCGTTAGATAAAAAGAGCCTTTGTTTCATATATGTACTCTTCACACTTTGCTCTTTCATTATTCAATGTTTCGTTGTTAATAAATAAGTATCGACGTTTTTTTAAAGACTTTTGCATTGTTGATTAGTTTATAATTAATTCTGTACTTATAGAAATAAAGCTTATAACGATGAATGTGACAGAAAAGTGTCTGCTTTAAGAGTTTTTATGTAGATTCCGTCTGTATTTCTTTCGAAAAGCAATAATGTATTGGCAATATTGAGAACAGACAAGTCACGATATTCTATGTGTGACAAACTAAATGAATTATACTCTTCAGATGAAACATTCCTTTATAAAAGTGAATATCACCTAAAAAAGTAGGTGTTAGTACCGACTATTTATATTTGTTAATTATTCATATGATTTAGAGATAGAATAGAAAATCGATTCTATCTTTATTATAATCCTATCCTTACTGTCTTTAGAGCTGTTCATGCAATGCTTAAATATATATTTTTTTCAGATAAAGATCTTTTTCACATTTCATTTGTTAGTCTTGTGTTTTTTTGACGCAAGAAACCAAAAAGAAAATGGTTGGTATAATAATTCGCATATTATCATTGATATTTCTGCTTCTATTTGCTTATCCATTAACATTATTATTACATCCATGGTGGATATTAATGCAACCATTAGGTGCATATGATCTTTTTTCAAATATGGTTAATGAATTAACAATGATAATGCATTTACCTGAAAATCTCTCCTTATCAATACAAACTGGTCAATGATGGTGGCAATTATAAATAAAAAATATAAAAACAAAACAAACAAACGATTAATTTAATAACAGAAGAAGAAAACATTGTTTTTTTAATTTTTTTTAAGAATCATGATAATTAGTTTTTTGTTTTATTAATATTCCAATAAACCTAAGATCAATTCAACATCGGAATGATCATCAATATTACATATATTCAAATATCAAAATAATCAGTTGAAATATAATATATATTATATAAATAGACTATGATTTATTCGAATCTTTCTTCATTTAATATTTTTGCTTCACTTTTAAATCTATTTTTTCTTTCCTATGTAACATATCATAGAATTGTCAAAATGCTTCAATCAGATCTTTTTTAACAGAAAAGATATATTCGAATTATATTCATATCGAACTCAACAACCATAAATAATTAACAACATCATTAATTCAAACAATAAGAAACTATTTACAACTATTCGATATTAGTGATCGACATACTTGATTTCGGCATAAAAAGATTGACAAAATTTTCTTGTTAAATGTGTAGTGACGGTAGAAAACAATCATCTCTTTTGCTTCTATATTTTTTCATCATTCTTTAAATATTATCACGATTCTAATATATCGATAAAGCATGATTTTCTATGATATATCATGGTTAAAGTAATATCTATTTATAAAAATACAAGAGCAATTGGATATGTTTTGAATTATTTTTAATAGGAATAAGATACATAAATGCAATTTTGAACGCACGAAGAAGGCTATGAAAACGCGAACAATTTCTCTGAAAAGAAGATTTCTTCTTTTTTTTTTCGATAAAAAACAAACTTTTTTTGATACTTAGAATATAGATTACATAAACTTTAGATAACATATTATCAAAACCTATCAGATATTATTTAATGTATCTTCATTTCCCCTTCCGAACAGTGAAAATCACAGTTATCTATCTTATTTCTATTAAAAATGATTAGTATTAGACGTCACATATCATAAAAAAATTCCTGTTTTATCGATATTTTACAATAATTATATTTGTTGAAAAATAATGTCATTCTACATTTATCAACAAAAATTTTTCAACTTTTCTGTGTAGAAATACGTCCTAGTTAATATCAAATTCTCTCAATCTGCGTCTTTCCATCATCAACGTCTAATAGAATCTGTTAGATTCAAAATTTTCAGAGTCAAAGTCAGACATAGTCAAATACCCCATTTTGATACTTCCAACAAAGTTTTCTTATCAATATTGAACATACATGTCAAACCTGAAACTTGAATTCAATTATTAAATACTTAAACCTCAACTATTCAAGCATTCTATTATTGAATAGTTGAACTTCAATTATTCAATTATTCATTTTTCGTGGCGAAAGGAGTTTCCTGGAAGACTAAATTCATATCATTACACGTACACATCACACGGCGGCGTGTGGGTGCGAAGAAGGAGGTTTGATGGAGGGCGAGATTCGTATCATTACAGGCACACCAAAAATGAATAGTTGAATAGTTGAATAATTGAACTCAACTATTCAATAATTGAATAATTGAATAGTTGGCATTCAAGTGTTCAATATTTGAATAGTTGAAGAATATTTTCAATAAGTGAATTCAACTTTCAGGTTTGATACTACTGTCGATACCATGGCTCAGCTTGGTAATAAAGTGGATTTGATTTAAATCTCTTATTCCTTCGTTTATTAGATTTCGTTTTTAAAACTTTCGCAGAGCATATATGTTTATACAAACAAGAGCTTTATAATCTTGCAAAAGATGAGCTTTTATTAAAAAAGACTAGATCATTCGATTGGCATTTTTCAAAGCGAACCTTGAGCAACAACT